TTTATACTATATAAATAGCACAAAAAGAGTCAAGATATTTTATTAATTATAATATGTCTAGAAAATAGTAAAATATAAATACTTGGTGAAATTTCAAGTCTATATAGTTATTCATTCTTTTTGAATTACAACATAAATACAAAATCTGTTTTTCAAAAAATTTCTGTTTTTCCCTGACTATTTAAAATAGTAACAACTTCGAGTATGTAACTATATGTAACAAAATGTAACAACTAGATACAGTTTTCTTCCAGAAACAACCTTCAAAGTTGAACATTTAAGAAGTTTAGTTTAACTACTCCAAAAGGGTATAATAGACAAAAGTTGTACTATATAGTAAATTATGAATTTATGAATTATGAATTATGATACATCATTATTTATCGTTACCATACTATTAATTAATTATGAATAGTAATTTTTCAACACTTCAATAATTATCAATTCATTGCTATATTTTATCATTTATAACATATACTTATCGATATTTGTACGTAATTTTATGTACAAACTAAATATTTTTTTCTTTTCTGAATAATTTAAATACGGTTCAGTTATTTACGATCGATTCAAAACTGGTACTCTTCATACCAAAAAAGTGTGTGTAGAAATTAGATGTTTGAATATTATGGATTTACTTCAAAGTGTACAGGACTGCATATAATAAATATATGTTATACTATTTATTATTTTCAACACAGACTAACAAGTAAAGATAAGAACAAAGTTAAGTTTTGTGCAACGTGTGACCTTTTAAGTATATTTTTGTCTGCAAGTAGTTAAATATTTATTAAGAGGATGTCAGCGCATATTGTTTGTTTTCTCTCTCTGGCTCACGCTTGACATTCAAGCAAAATCATTTTTTTTTTGGTTTTTAAGTTATCTCCTAGTGGAATCAATCAGCATAAAAATTACAGAGAATAATGTTTTTGAGGGTTTGACATCGATTTGGCTTAATATTGTCCCAAAACAATTTAATACTCATTTTAACTTACAAACATTTATTTTTAAATTCAAATATGAACTTAAATAATAATAAAATATAAATTGGATATGCGAAACACTCAAAACTATTATCCTCCATGTAATTTTTGTAATAACTACAATTACTCAAAAATCATTAAAAGAAACCCATTTGAATTTGAGATAGAAACCTGAGATAGAAAACAAATATTGCGTTGACATCCTCTTAAAACTTAAGTGGTTGTACTCTTATGTATACTATGTATAGTATACTACCTACTATCATTATATATTTAAATCGCTGATCACTGTGTTTGTTCTAATTCGAGTAAGTTATTAAAAAACAAAAACAAATTCAATGGTGCGTTTAAATTTGTTATACATTGTCTGGTACATATGAAATTAGAGAATGTCAGATTGTGTAACGAAATGTTTTATAATTTCATCCAACTAAAAGTTGATACCTGTTTAACTTATAACGTAAGTATGGATACCGCGCAGGTAACTGCTAATTATTTATTATCATTTTAAAATCGAGAATATAGGTAACCCAACTGCAGTATAAACGCTTTCTATGTCAAAGTGCGTAGAACTAATGATACATACATTATGTTATATATTGTTATATAATATGAAATTGCGTTCTCACAAAACACTGGTATATCTGACAGTAAAATATTTTAAGATACTACAGTTTTTCAAAGCTAGTAATTTATTATTCATTAGATTATTATTAAACATCGGTATAGTTATTGTGATTTATAAAATATATCAAACTATGAATACAAACTACTAATTTCTGTGATTGCCAGCATGTATACTATAACAATATATTTGTGTAAATTATTACATTTTTATATTAGTTATGTACCTATACATTCAGACATTCCTATTTACGTAACTATGTGCCCTACAAATATCTACAAATTAAAAACGGTTGAATAATGCACTTGTTATAATTTTCATAATATTACCTGAAAGTTTAAATTAGTAAATATTCATGGGAGGTGCAGGTAGGTATACTATACCTATTATATAAACACACGCGTTAAAGATTTAGTCCTTAAGTAATAAGTTTTCCAATTAGAAAATCTCATTATAGGAACGTATATTTTATTCTTAGTACTGTATCATTGATATCTTATACTTATATTTACGCTTCTTACATAACGTCTTAATAATAATTCAGTATTCCAACAATATTACCAAAGAAAACAAAAAATTAAGCATTTTGCATAGATTTAAAAATACAGACATAACTAATAAAACATTTTTATACTTAAAAGATGGTCAGTGGTCACTCGTAATGCCTAATAGTTAATATAAGTTATAAAGCTTAATAATAAGTAGGTATAGGTAATAAGGCTAAGTGTCTGATAGTGTTCATTAAATGATAAGAAAGTATATTTTATACAAGTAGATTCATGTTGAATGTATATTCAAAACTATATTATACTTTGTAATAATATTCACGACAGTAATTTGTTACACATCGTGACATACTCACATACTAAAAACGCCATCGTGTTTAATTTATTATTTGGCATTGAAAATATCAAGTATATAAAAACAACCCATTTCTATTGTTATTAAAAAATACTAAAGTTGTAATAATTATCACGAAATTTACTAACTACCTAACTATAAATACATTCGCTATGCCTCATAAACTAATACACGATTAACTCGTATACTTTTATTTATATTATATTTTTGTTCAAATACTTTTGGGTAAGTTAAAGTGTGTGTTATGATAACAGTATTAATACTATACATAGTATCATTGTTATACTTTAACGCATATAGGTAACTACACAAAGGTAAATTTCCTATTGGCACCTATTGAATACCTATGAGTGCGTTATGTTTTACACTGTTATGTGTTATATAAATGTAATTAGGTACCTACAAATTACAATTAATGTAAATAGTTTTCAACACTCAAAACACAACACCAAACATATTTTTTAATTATTTTGTACCATACTATATAATAACTTTTAATTTATTTACATGCTTAATCCTAAATATGTATCCAAATTGAAAATTGAATGTTTATTTAAGATCCGAGTGGATCGATGAATGTATTGATCTTACAATGATGTGTTTTTTTTTGTCTGCAGATACATAGGTACTATGGTAGAAAAAATATTAATATTAATCAATCAACATTAATCATTTGTAAGGTTAGCACTAGTGATGGGTAAATTCCCGGAATTTAAAAGTGAGGAAATATTCCCTGGGAATATTTCCGGAATTTTTAATAAATTCCCAAATAATGGGAATTTTTACTATAAATTTGAAAATTCTAGCAGGCAAGAAAAAATTAAACTTTTACCAATCCAAACACAAACCAAATATAATTTTGGTATTGTGTGGCCTAAAATGACCTAATGATCTCAGATTTTGAAGCCTTAACATAATTTTAAAAAAAATATATAATTATCCTTATTTTATGATTATTATTATTATGAATTATGATAGTACCTATGATTTTTGTCTTTGACCTTTGAAGTAGGTAATAGGTATCTTCTATTAAGAAGTTGCTAGGTATTGAAAAAAATATCT